AAAACCTTTAAATGCTATATATAAAGTGTTAGTAAAGCAACTAAACAGATGTAAAAAGGCTGTGTTATAATATTAAAGGCAAGAACAGACCTAATGTTGAAAAGCTTTTTGAAAAAAGTCTTAAAGATTATTTTAAATAATGTTCTTGGTATAGTAGGGCCACCATGCAGTAGTGGCTTAACTTTTATTGAAAATAGTAGTTCTGTAATTATCTTGATACTTTATACATTTGGTTTTTAATTGCAACCTTTATAATTACATTTTAATGTCTGATCATTTGTAATAAGCCGCTAGTGCTTCAAGTGAATGGAATTATGTTGTTTCCAAACACGATTAACTGTTCCTGTTACATTTAGGAATGCAGGAAGATGACAAAGAATGACAATATGAGTGGGACAACTTTGTCAAACACTATGGTTGAACATATTTGTGCATTAAATGAAAGGATAAACTGTTTTTTCCTTTATTCTTGCTTCACTCCAGTCCTTATCAAAATGCATATCTAATTATCTTTAATTAAAGATGCAGCATTTGTGTTGCATAGTAACATTTTTTTTTTTAGGAAAATTAATACTTGTCTACATCGTTTCTTGACATAGCCTTGATATAGACTGACAAAAAAACTGTAGTGAACTGCTTTTTTTCTTTGTTTAGCCATCTCGTAAAATTCTGTTCCGTTCGAGTACATCCACCATGCTTACTCTGGCTGTTATGAGTTACAATGCTGACAGGATGCATATGTGGAAGGCATATCTTTGGGTCTGTAGATGAACTAGACTTTTAGTAATCAAATTTTAATTATATTTTGCCAAATCGAAAGATTGTACAGGTCTGTATTTTTAAGCCTTTTTGAATGCTGTAAATCTTAAAACAGTAATGTATCAATATAAACCTTTTTAGACTATAAAATAATCATGTATAGCAAATTATAGTGATGTAGAAGTCGGGAGACACTAATATTAAGTAGTGCTTAGTTCAGTTTTAATAAACATCCCTAAACTTGAGGTTCCACTTAATGTCACTTAAGGACTTAAAGTAATCTCAAAGTAATCTTGTTCTTTCATAATAAACTTGGTTATTTTTTAATAGAAGTTCCTTACACTGATATTCATACATTAAGATTAATTGGGACATACACATACTGCAGATTATTTAGGGTGTCTGTGGTGATTGTGCCCTTCACTGGACATTAGAAAAGAACAGAGAAGGAGTGTTTCTTGGCCAATGAAAAATGTGTTCATTGGCCCCTCAGCTACAGAAGGGAGACTCCAGCCAGAATTGTGTAGGAGGCTGATTTGCTTCTCTAACCCTTATTTAATGAGTTTTTTTTTGCTGTTGTGTGTAGTTAATGTGGTATTCCTCCAAGATTTAGATTTTTTCAGGCCAGGACAAAATGACATGGCTGTGCACAGTTCAGGCCAACAATTTAGAAATCTAGGAGAGTTACTGTGTGTTCTGTCCGATATTTATGGTTTGTGTTATTTGATATGTAGAACACTGCAATATAATACAGATGTTTTTTGAGCAACCCTCCACCTTTCAAAAAACCATTTGTCAATCTTACCATATATTAAGGAATGTGTTATGTGTTACCCTGATCTTTTGAACAGGAAAACCATGTTCTCGCCATCATGAGAATTGATTTATTCCCCATTAAGGGAAGGGTACATGAAAATCTTGAGTCAGGCAGTAAATTGGTGAATGAGGCACTAATGCAAATAGCTAACTGGTTTGTGTTCAGAAAGGTTAAAGGGCGCTGTTGTATTTTCAGGGTGAGCTGTGGCTCACTATTGGTTATTGACAGATGTGTTGTCACTGGAGTGTGCTGGCTTGGCCCATTATAGAATGAGAAGTGCACTTCAAAAACTTCACAACCGCCCCCCCCCCCCAACACACACACACGCACACACACACTTTAAAGAATCACAAGGGTGCAGCTGCCACAGATGTCTTTTGGAAGGGGAGCAGGATGGGGGAGGGTTTTGTATCAATGGGCGGAGAAGACTCATGACCCTCCACCCCCCTCCTCTGCCCCAACCCCCTGCTCCCCACCCTTTGCAGCCACCTCACGCCCCACGATCACAGGGAATCAAAGCTTTGTTTGAAAAGTGATGTAGAAGAGACAATTGGCCAGAGAACTTATTCTCTCTGACTGTTTACGGTAATCCAGTCATCTTTTCATTCTCCTTCACTGTCAGCCATAATACATGAACCTGGGTTGTACAAATCCACTTCACTGAAGAGTTCATTTATTAATAAATAGACTATTACCTGTATATAGGTACCTCTGTCAGGCTGTTAAGAACACCTCAGATGGATACACATTTCAAACACGCTATCACTGATCTGGGTCCCACTCAGACTGTTAATCTATTAATCTTAACGATTTTACCATACATGAAATATGTTTGTTGCGAACATGAGTTTTGTGTACGATTCTGCAAATCAGGCATCTGAGAAACATTTTGGCAAAAAGAAATTTTACAGAAGATGTCACATGAACTAATGCCTTAGTCTGAGTATGGGTGTAGAAGAATGAAAATAAACCTCTAGGCAAAGATGATGACTGTCAAGAGAATTGTGCAGTGTCTGAAAATACTTTCATTACATTAAGAAAATAAAAGGACTCGTAGGAGGGACATCTGGTAATAGTACAGTAGTTGTGAATATTTTAGCTTGTTTTGTTATATACCACAAGTTCATGTCGCTTGTGTGCCTACATTACTATACTACAGAATAACTTATAGCTTGTTTGATAGACATTTATATTAAAATAATCGTTTGTCTTATGAAACATATGTTACATTTAAGACATTTAATAATGAATAATGCTGCAGCTGGTCTTACTCTGTCTAATATGAGAGTGCCACTTCATAGCTTTCTACCTCACCTCCATCAATCACGCAGATCTGATAAACATTTAGCAACATGACACCCTGTGCAGCACCCCAATGAAAAGAGAGGAGCTGATGCTGATTCCTTTCTCTGGGTGCCATTGGGAAAGGTGCTCACTTTGGTGATTATACATGAGCACTGAAAGGTCTCAGGGTCATGCTGTCATCTGCAAGGAAACTATAATTCTGAAGAGACTCTTGCCTCAGTTCTGCAGAAGCATTTCACACCAGATATGGGAGATACCTAGCTAATGCACATCTCTTCAAAACAGAATTAAGTACATTTGTTCTTTCGCATCAGTATGGTATACACTGTGTTCTGATTTTGAATGAGCATATTCCTGGCACTTGTACTACGTTCTCCTTACTGGTAAACTTCATGGTCCCACCTGGGTGGGGAGGTTGGGTATTTTGCTGGGTCATCCTATGTTTTCTAAATAACTGTGTAACACGACTGTTCTTTCAGCTGAATTTCCTGTCCAAACCAGTTTATTTGGAAGTAAGCCAGCTTTTTTTTTCCCCTGGAGCCCATTGTCCACATTTCATTCCAGGCAACAACACAAATTTACAGTGAACTGCAGCGTGGAGCCCATTTTTGCAACTTCATTTTAAATACATTTTTTATACAAATGCAATATACAGAATCATACATGTATAATTAAAAAAACTGCCAGTTTCCCATTCATAAAACTACTTCCAGAAAAGAAAAAAAATCTTTCAAAATAAAAATAGTACAGATTATTCATTGCTCCTAGGTTTTGAAGTATGTTAGACAAAGCATTTCAAACCAAAATAAATCTAGGTAATGTGAAAAATATGTAATTCAGGAATCATTCTGATTGTCTAATTTGCTGTCGCATGAAAAATCTCGTTAAGTTTGTACCTGGGGTTTGTATTTGTGCTGCCTGGGGTGTGCCATGTTCTTTTCTGATACAGGAAGCTTCGCGTAGTCCCTTCTGTGCTGGCTAGACAAGCAAAAAAAAAAAAAAAAAACAAAACCACTAGGCCTAGTCTTCAGGCAGATTGCAATGTGTTTCCCCTGGGGTGGAAAAAGATCTCATACTGCGTTGGCCTCTTTACAGAGTACCATTTGTATTTTTTTCACCATTTTCTTTTCACCATCTAGCCCATGCAACCCCCAAACCCTAGAAAGCGTTTGATTCCGAAACATTTTCCAGGGTGAGCGTGCTATGGTGTGTGTGTGTGGTTTTTCTTTTTTCTGTGACAGTCTGTGATATGCCTTTTCTCCACTTGGTCTGACCTTGTAATTAAAATTAGTGGTGCAAATCAGAAAGGATGTAGTACTATCTCTCAGTTGGAGGTAAACGTTTCAGTAAATTACAAATATTGCTGGACTCCATGCAGTTACTAGATTTTCGGAGCATGTATTTACTATGAGGAGGCCTGCTACCTTGTCTCTTAATCGCACCTGCCACATCTCTGCATCTTGAGAGATTGGCTAACTCTGCCGTGAATGAATTAGCCAGATGGCACCCCAAAGATGTCAATTCTGAATAGTTACAACTTAACTTTTAAAAGCTTGATTTTTTTTAACAGCCAGATTTTAAGGAGCAGTAAAATAAGGTAATAGTTTGATCTGTTGCCAGAGAAAGAGCTGTTCAGTCCTGCTCACCTTGACACGGTCCTAAGGCCAGCCCTCAGCTGAATCAGCAAAAGCAGATTCTGATTAGGCTGCTATGTATGGGGCATTAAAAAATGGTATGATCATCAAACTGAAGCTGAATGCAGCAACAGCACCCATGCCACTGTATGAAAGCTATATGGCCTGGCAAAGTATGACTGTGAATTGTTTTATGGTACGGAGTCCTTATGGGCACAGCGTAGGGTCCTGACAGGAGGCTTGAGTGGGTGGGTGTGGTTAGGAAGCCTTTTACCACTATCATCCCTGTCACCCAATTCAGTACTGAGCTCCATGCTACGGATGGCCATTTTCACCATGTGGAGCAGAAAAAAAACACATTCATCTCAGAATTCTGACCTAAGTCGAAATTCCGACTTTTTTTTTTTTAGCCAATCAGGCAGCGTCACCTCCTCTGCAGGATGCTGATTAGAAATATATCCCAAACAAACATTCACGTAATGTATCCTTCTGGCAAGTAGTTTGGATTTCATGTTAGCTCGCTACATTTTGAAAACCGTAAAACAGGGTGGCACTAGTGCTGCCTTCATTGCTTTGGTTTCAGTTATTCAGTTAATTTTGTGATGCCAGTGTTTGTCTTGGACACTTAGTTGCTTCAAAGACACGATTAACTAAAAGACGCATTTGATATTTTACCGACTGTAATTAGAACATATATTCTATGCGACATCGCGATTGTTAGGGTCTGTAGCAGCCGATATTATAACTACAGTCAATGTAATTGCTGCCAATAGCGTAATAATTTTTCCTATTTTGTGTAATAAAAATCGATAAGGTGATGCGTTGATTCAGAAATGTTAGTACGGTATGGGTAAATTATTTAACCGCTTTTACTACATTGACAACAGAGAATGATTATGTTACTGGCAGTTATTACATTAACAGTATTACATTATTGAATGCTACAGGGTCTTGTAGGTCTAATGCACGAACTACAGAGCATTAACATTAGATATGCCGGTATCACATCTGATTAGGCGAAAGATAAGTTTTATTGCCCCTTCTCATTTCATAGCTAGTTAACGTTTACAGGATAACTATTACTGCAAGTTCCGATGTAAGCTACCATTCACACACACAAGTGGAAGTATTAAAATGCTAGGGCAGAGCAGACGCAGCCATTGCAGCCTTAGCTCCTGTCTGCTACTGGACGCGCGTCGCACTGAGCCATTAAAGCGCCGGTAGGACTGATGGCTCCGGATACTTGTTGGTTGTTAGAAAATAACTCAGTTACGGTAAATAAAGTAAAGAATTGTGAGGGGGGGAAGTCAGGATTTAGACTTAATTCTGAGATAAATGTGTTTTCTCCTCCAGATGGCGGAAACGGGCTTCCATACCATGCAGACAGACACCCTATTTAAAGTTACCTACGCGTCCTCTGCAGGCAGTGTCCATGTATACGGGCAAAAGCGTTTGCACTAGCGTATAACAAAAATCACTATTGCTTCAATGCAACTGATGACCGCAAGAATCACAATTTGGGTGGAAATACTGTAAAAATTTCAGATAAAAAAAATCTTAAAAACTACTGTCTGAACTGACTACCGATCGCCATTTAGTACCAAAAGAACCTGGTTCGATTCCACGATAAAAAAAAAAATGTTGCCAGCCATTGCACATTCAAAAGAATACTGCTAATATTGGTGTATTTACCCACGAAGCATTTTATAGCCACCCCGTTTACTTCTGGGCACATTTCTAACCGCGATTATCTTAATATACAAAGATAACAGGCGAAGGTTTACCCACGTCTCAGCACGCATTATACGCTGCCCCCAAAATTCGCAGTCAGGGAAAACGGCTTCAATCTACGTTAATGAAGCAGCTTCTACCCGTCGCCGCTTCCAGTTTCAACTCCGGCTAGCTAAAAACTCCGTTTCCCCCCTCCACCGGTGGGAGAGAGAGCCGGGGGTGAGCTGGGAGTCGGTCTGAGACGGCGCGTCGCCTCGCCTCGCCTTGCCGTCCAATCGGCGGCGCGGCGCAGACTCCCGGCATGCCCGGCCCGGCAGGGCGGGGGCGGCTCCGGCTGCTCTGGCCGATTTGAATGTGGAGACCAGGTTTCGGCGCCATTTTCGAGTGGGGAGCGATTATAGCGGCGGCGGGCAGGGAGAGCTGTCGGGGTGGCCGAGCCGACGCTCTTCGCCTTTCATAACTCTTGTTATTTTTTAAGTATTAAAAACTTCTAGAAATGAAATGAAATGCGGACGGTAAGGGGGGAGTGTAGAGGGAGCCGCATGAGGGGAGGATACGGACTAACGGAGAATAAGGCGTACGAGACGGGGGACGTTAACCGAAGAAAGGCAAATGCGGATTCCGGGGTTAACAAATACCCGGAAAATCTTAAAAAATAACATCCGAAAAAATATGTAAAAATGTTTAAAAATTTTCTCAAGCACATGTCGTTGGATTTGAGGTGTTTACGCTTGAACCGAAGCCGTTTTTGGTGCTTTTTTACGTTAAGTTTGAGCGGGAGTGGCGACGGGCTGTCATCGCCGCGAGCTAGTTAACCAGCTAATCTTAACTAGGGAACACTGGTTACACTCGCGGCATTTCCACTTTTATTTTATAATTACTATTTTATGATTTTTTTTAGAAAGACTACCATGCAGCTAGATTCGAATGGCTATTTGCATAATATTTTTTCAGGTTTTTTTTTTCTTTCACCCTCATTTTCTGGTGAAGAGACGCTTGTTTTGAAGCCGTATCTTTCGGAGCCTTTGTGGTCTTGCTGCTGCCAGAGGTAAGTCCGACACCTACGGGCAAACGGCCGTGTGTCACGGACTTGGTCTAGTCCTGTGACCGTCTTCCATGTTCAGCCCCGGTCTGGTTGATGCCTATTTAGCCTCAGTCAGCTAAGGGACCGTTAAACTCGCAGGCGATGTTGTTGGGCATGTAACCGGGGGGCGTCTGCTACTTTCTCGCCTGACGAGCGTTTTTTTCTCCCACCCGAACGGTTTAAACGGTGAATTCTGGTTACTCTCCGGTCAGCATGTCGTTTTCATTTTGGGGGTGAGGGGTGTCTGTGTCCTGCCAGCTCCATTCACCCCCCCCCCAAGTACTCGAGTGGTGGCTTTAGTTGGCTTTCCTTTCAGTCAGATACTTATTGGAAGATTATTGGCACGTTGTCCGGCAAACGGTCACTTTCCAGCTACAAGTCAACGACTTTATGTGGAGACTGAGGAGGACTCATATACAGTCGCGTAAAACTAAATTCAACCTTAGATAATTGTAGAGGAGTTTTAAATATTTATCGTTTTTGAATTTTTTTCTGTAATTTGTCATGCAACTATTGGCCTGTTGGATTGCTAATTCAGGAGGTTAAAGGTATTGCTGTAAAGCTTAGATTAATACGAAGCCGAGGTAATCTGACACGTTATTTGTCAGCCTGGGCGATTTGTTTCTAAGCTATTCAGTTTGACAGTGGATATGACAAGGCGAATGACTTGTAGGGTTTCTGTGGGCTCCCAGTTTGCCGGCACGTTTAATTGTAATGCTGTCTGAGTGCTGGGCATTGTCAGGGGCCGACATGAAAGGAACGGGGTTGCTGCGGGTCTCGCTTATTGACCTCTTCTTTAGAAAAGGCCATCGTGACTGTGTTAACAGAAGGATACCATGACTATATTAAAACGCCCATATAGGCCCCGTTTTGGAGTAGATTTAATTATAAAGTGATCAGTCCCTGGGAACCGCACTTGCTTTCGGCCATTCTTTTGAGGAAGTTGGAGTTTGATTCAAAATTACTTCTGTGTGAAGCTTTAGGGCTTTTTACAAAGTGCTGATCACCATTTGTAGTCCCTGTCGAAGTCTGTCAGGTTTGTGGGGTGATATTTTTAGTGGTGAGGAACAGTGACCCCAGCGATTAAAATGTACATCAACTAAAATAACCGTTTCAGTTCTGCACCCTTCTGTCATCTAAGCTAATTGTTAGAGCCACTCTAAGGCTGTCTCATGTTTTATATTAAGTTGTACGTGTTTTTTTTCTTTTCCGAACACCCCGTTCATTTTCTTTCTTTTTTTGTACGTCATACAAGGAAGAACTATAGGTCATTTTAGCTGTAATTTAATAATCACTTATGTACAGTTAGGAAATAGCAGTTTACCACAAAATAAAGCAATTTTAGCGTCTTTACAGTTGCAACTTGTTTTAAAAGTTTAGAAGAATCTACTAAAGCATTTAGCCACAATGGAAAATCGGTTGAAAACTGTGTGAAATCTTTGCCATTTTTTAAAATTACATAAACCTGTAGGATATTGTTCTGAATATTTTGAAAGAATTATTTTTTGTGGCATTTTTTGGCACTTGCACCAAGTCAAAAATCTAACATGCCAGAAGATTTGAAATGTTTGTCTTAAGAACCTGAAATACTGCAAATTATATGTTTAAAAGACAGAATGTTGTATTTTTTGTTATGAAATTTGCTTCTGTATTCTGATTTTTAAATAGTAGCTGTATTTTGAGAACTTATTTGCTGGGAAAACATTGTCAAGTTGGAATTTATTCTTCATGTGTTCCAAGACATTTTGCAATATCACATATTCAGTTTCTTTGGTATACTTAATAGTATTAGATGGGTCTAAAGTACAGATTAAACGTAATGACACATTTAATTAGTTCTGATTTTATGCATTGCATTGAATTGTGGCCATTTTGTAAAGTCCAGGTTTGTACTGTCAATTATAGTGACTATGCCCTTTTTTGGTTTTGTGTGAGGGGAATTTCTTGTCTCTTGACACTTTCTTCCCTCTCCCCAACACACGACCAGAAATTCACATACATATCACACACATGCGCACACACCCTATCCAAAACAAAACTAATTTTATAGCAAACTACACCACTGTCATAGTGATAAGATGAGGGTGTTACTATGCTTAGTCAGCTTTGGGTTCTTGACTGATATGGTTAATCAAGGGTTGACAAGCCAGTATATACAATATTATTTTAATAGTCGTTCATTGATAAGTTACTTTTTTCTGGATGGAAAAAATTCACATGCATTGTCATTTATTTTTGTGGTCACACCATCTTTAATTTGCATAAATTTATTAGTCACTTTCTTGTATTGAAAAACACTTTAATGAGTATTAACAGAATAATGTGAAATTGTAGTGGGTCTAATGTGCAGTGGAGCTATTTTGACAATTTTCATTAATTTTCTGTTGAGTTTGCGTTTGGTAAGTTTAAATAGGTTGCTTCAGAAGTTATGTGTATTTTATTGAAGCAAGGTTTTATTGTAACCTGGTTTTGGGTTTGTTTAATTCGATCTGTATTTTGATTCATATTAATTTTTGAAAGTATGCATGGATTTATACCTATTACACTTGAGTGTGTGTGCCCTTAGTTATGGGAGATTATTAGTTTGAAAATGTAGCATTTATTGAAATGAGTGGGGTAATCTGTTGAACATTATGAAACTAGATTTTTTTTTTTTTCCGATGTAGGCCCTTCCATTGCTGTAGTAGTTCTACACCAGTCACTTTTTCATTTGTTCACATATGTGGTAGGAAGCAATTGTGCTCCTTAAAAACTGTTAAGGATTTACATTCACTATAATTGAAGCAAGGCTTTAGTTGTGCTTTCTTGGTTTGGTTTTACATACCACAAGTAAGCAGAATGCCACAAAAAGGAGATCCTGATGATGGTCATAAAAAGAGGAAAAATGTGTTGCATGGCAAGGTTGACTGCAGAAGCCAGCATCTGTCTTGAATGTTTTTTTCCTTCAGAGGTATTACATTGAAACTCTTTGTGGCAAAATACAATTATACCCTGACTTGAACAGATATTTATTCATTGTTTCATTAATTTCTCCCGATGGGTGTGTGTGTGTGTGTAGAGGAAATAATTCATTACTTCATAGAAAAACACTCATTCTCATTTATTGTTATTAATTGGCTGTGCTGGTTTTTGGTGGGAAAACTTTTAGATTAGTTGGCAGATTCTTGGGCTTCTGAAAAATTATCATGCCAGTTTTTCAAATCCCCCATTGATTATTTAAATGCTGACTATAAGGTGTGCTCACTTCTGTTTTTTGTAATAGAAATACTTATTGAATTTGACATAGTTGTTGCATTTCTCTTACTGGTTTATCCCTGAAATTGTTTCATATTGATTTGTTACTCCATTATATTGCTAATATGTTCAATTGAGATTCTGCTGTTTTCTTTTGGTTTTATGGAGAACCAGTGTAATTGTAAAACATGTAAAATTAAATTTGCCATTTAATTGGAGCTCACCACATTAATGGTGATGTACATGATATAGATTATAGGTATTAAAAGCATTTTAATTACACCCAGTTTAGTTAATTATACCTTAATTTTTTTTGAAAAGCTTACTTTTTTGCAGACATATTTTAGTGTGATTTAATATCTATGCCTTGTTTAAAAACTAGGTGTACTCATTTGTAATAATCAGTTTTATGTGAATTATCGCGATTAAGTATATAAATATATATTCATATAATTGCAGTAACACTGAAAACGAGTGAACATAATTTTTCTTTCTTGTAGCTTCCTTCACACTTCACCTTGTATTCACAAAGTAATCTGGTCGGAATTCTTTCCATTAGATTGCTTGTGAAACAATCTTTATCACATTTATAGAACTCAGGAGTGGTAATCTGTAAAATGTGTTGACATTTTGTCTTTGTGTCTTTTTTTCTTCTGCATTTTCTCATAGAAGGATGGCTACTCCATAAAATATTCATTTAGTGGTTCTATTGTAGGTAAGGAATGATTAGAAAAATTCATCATGTCTAGCAGTAACAATTTGGGGCTCTCATATCAGTGGTATATGTTCCATTTATTTTGGGCAATGTAACCGGTGTTACACTTATTGATCTACATTAGGATATAAGAGTAAGATTTCTACAATTATCTCCATTGTTTGGACACTACCAAGAAATAAATGTCTCCTGTCTATAGACCTGTAGCCTCTGTCAGTTAACATTGTCAGATGAGGTGAACATGCTACTGGGGTTTATTTGAAAACTCTGGACGCATGGACCTCATGCACAGTATGTACTTTTACCTATTCCTTAAATTCCTGATAGTGATACTTATGATTTCTTTGAATTTGAATTACAGAAATATGGAAGTTTTAGAAATTTCAGGAATTGTTGCCAAAATGTGTGAATTTGTTCTATTTGATCCTTGAAGAGTGGAGTTTTACAGTACTGTTCTTCTAAATGCCTATTTAATATAACAGTAAGTTGTAATATAGTCACTGTAGCATTCAGTTGTGATTAAGAACTTTGTTAATTTTTTTCCTCATAAATTGTGGGGTATAAGGAAAACATGGTACACATTGTCCACCATTTATTGTAGCAAGTTTCCATTAAGATTACCTCATATTTTAAATCCCCGTGGTTCAGAGATGGCAGTCTAGTTTTGTTGTCCAGTTCAATGATGAAGTGGGCTCGATACAACTTTCTTGTTAGTTTCTTTTGTTATAAAACTAGGAGTTAAGAAGGATGTTTAACTTGGAGTACTAAAAATTTTTTATTTATTTTTTTTGTGAAACCTTCCTAATGTCTTGTAGTTAGTGCATTATAGTTAATTCATAAAAATGGCTAATTCATATGGGTAATGTATAGTTAACAAAACAGTATTTTGCAGTCTAGAGAATGGAATGCTGCGTTCTGTAGCTTACAAAGAAAATAACACTGGATGGCTGCTAACAAAGGGTTTTAATTTTATTATTTTTAAAATTCCTCTGACACACTGCTGGACACTCATATG